AGACTTAGCCCATGGGTTCAAGTCGACGGGTATAAGGAGGATATAAGGCAGGAATCGAATGATGAATAATGATAATAAATGATTAGTAAAGCAAGCACATATGTTGATATTTTCTTTTAGCTTATGTGTTTATGATATCTAGTATCTGGTATGTGATAGTAACATATTTAATGATTATCTTAATTGTTAGTCCCGCTTGGCGCCTCTTAGGGGTGCTGGTAGGTGAGGTACGTAGGAGTTTTCGTTACTGAGACGGAAGTCTCACTCCGTTACATCTACAATTTTCAGGTAAGCATAACAGAGGAGCCACAACGGGGAAGGAATCGGAGGTGTGAGGTCACCTTCATTTGTGATCACACCCCGAACACTGGTTATTTTTAGTCATTAGTTATTTGCCACCTAGGATATCATTATGCATATCTTTTTATATTATCAATGTTGAAACATTTATGATTAAACATTTATGAGGATGTCTTTGAAATGAGTTAAACTTTTAGATTAATTGTGACAAACTATGTCAATCAGGCATATGAAAGGCTTTTTATAACCATGTTAAGGGTATAGTCCTTTCCTAACATGGTTATGCATAATGAGTAAGTATAATCCTTTTATAACCATGATAGGTTATATTGGTAACTGTATCTCCCATTCTTTTATATCATGGTTATGACATAATAAGTAAGAAAATTTTGAAATAAAGTTTGTAACCTGTTTTCTTTAATTACCATGGTAATAGTATTGACATTCCTATATTGTATTAAATATGGCAAATTTCTAGATAGGGTGTTACACGAAGACCAAACTAGACCAGAACACAGGGTAATGCCTTGCCCAGCCTAGTCTGGTCCATGTTCAGCCCTAGAGAAGAATATGGCATATGTGGAGAAAATGGAAAGCAAAATAGCTATCATCCAAAAGGAGCTTATAAAGGAGGAAAATTTTTCATGTGAAGAAAGAGAGAGGTTTACAAAGGTAAACTACTCCAACACTAAAAAAGTATTTTTGATTATTTATGATAGTTCGATCCTCGTATTACATAAGAAACCCCAGAATGTTTAAATGTTAACTTATTGGAATTTAGGGAGAAAAAATTCTCTTCTCCTATGAGAGCGAAACTCTTTCCTCTGTGAGAGCTCAAACTACCCCTTTGGTGAGCATTTTCCATTGGCGTCCTCTCCTCGGCAGCCACCGGGGAAGAATGAGTTTGGTGTGTGTGAGATGGTGTGTGGGTGAGTTGACAATGTTGAATGCAAGATGTGGTGCAATGCGATTTAGGGATTTGAAGAAGCCAATGGCGGGTTCAATTTCGTTGCACCACGGCTATCGAAAATGCTGCTATTCTGGCAACAGCCACTTCACTCTTCGTCGGCAAGTATGGGCCCTTTTTGACCTAGCTCCTTTCCAGCTTGTTTCTTCTGCAATGTTGGTGCGTTTTGAATAGGGGCCCTTTTTCTTTCTTTCTTTCTTTTTTAATTTTCCAAATCAGATCTCCAGCTCCCCAAGCCATGTTGCCAAGTTAGATGCCAAATCATCATAATTGACACCGTTTGTGCCAACTCAGCAAAGTGTAATGACGCTTGACTAGCAGGGACTAACTTTTTGTAACGGAGTAAATTTGAGGGACCAATACCTCAGGTCTCAAATTCGAGGGACCAAAACCTAAATGGGCCTAAATTTGAGGGACCAAAAGTCATATTTTCTCTGTTTTTTTTTTCAAAAAAGAACACACAAATGAAGTTCACATAACTTCCCATCTCACAATGGAAATGAGTTAATTTTGCTTTTGCCAATAATGCTGAATTTCTTATTAACCTGCAAAATGAATACTAGTATAGCTTTTTTATTTTTTTGCTAGTTACATGCATCCTCCTACTAGAAGCAATTCAATTTGTGGTATTGTTGGGTATTAAATATAAACACTTTTTTCAGTAGAAATTTAAATCTTGACTTGTCAAGTTGTAAGAAACTAATCTATTCCACCGTACTCAACTCCTAATAGTAGTAGTTTTTTTTTTTTTTCCTAGTACAAGGCAATATAGATTTTGTGTTGTTTCATGCGCAATAAAGTGTCTTAGATAAGACACAAAACAAGTATTGGCCTGATCTAATATTGTCGTTCACATTTCAACCCAGTAGACTATGCTTACAGTCACAGAAGAATAATCTTTTTTTTTTTTTGGTCATAAGGGTGAAAACAGGCTAAGTCAAGTTAGGCTTTGTCCTTAACAGGCCTTTTTGGTAATAAGCTAACTTGAGTCTAACTTGTGGTCTGTCACAGGCCTTTTTCCTTGCTTAAGTCTGGCCTGTCAAAAACTTGACTTGGTTTGGCTTGGGTCTGTTAAAAAAAATCTATTTCAAAATATATAATAGAAAATACATGAATTAATTTTTTTAAAAAAAGCAAAATATACATAATACATAATAATTATTTTTTAATCTTGTCTTTTATTTAATTTTTATGTCATTTGACTATTTTAAGTCTTAATTATAATTAATATTATTGAAAAAATTTATAATTATATGTTAAAATTTGGAATGAGATTAGACATAAATACAAAATGAAAACTAAAATTAAGACAAATAAGTAGGGAGAAAAATTTATTGACTCATAACGAATAAGGAGGTATCATAATTTGATCAACATAACATATAAGTTAATTAATTTATCAATTCTTTCCCTTCTTTTTAGCTCTCCTTCTAGAATAATTTTTTTTTCGCTGCTATTTTATCTATATTTTTAAAATTTATTGACAGTAATATTTTAAATTATGTCCTCATCTTTACTTGGAAACTAAATTTCAAAATTCAATGATGCATTAACTGTGGAAAAAAATTCAAAGAACACATTAAAAATAATAGTATTAACGAATTTTTCCATATTATTATAATTTTAAACTTATAACAGGCTGAGGCCAAACTAACAAGCTTTTCAAAAGATATAAACCTAAGTTGTCAGGCTAAATAAGCCTTCAAAAAAGCCTAGACTTGTTTCTATTTTTAAATAGGTCAAACCACAGGCCTTTGACAAGCTGTCTGATCTATTTTCAGCTTCCTAACAAGTCAAAGGTTCTCAAATTTTATCTACTATCAACTTTATATATGGTCTCAATTTCCATCCCTGATCCCTTATGTAGATATGCTGTATATGCTATGACGATATGGGGGGGGGAAAAGTCGAATTCTTATCATCAGAACCTTCAACATGTTTCGTAACATGACATATGCTTTAATTTGTCTAAAATATTATTTTTTTTCTACATAATATTTAGAATTTTCAGCTAGGGAATTTTATTGAGAATAATTTTGACATTTTTGAAGAAACAACTAATTTTAATTAATTTTATTAATGTACGTAAAGTTATTATCAAGTGTTTACAACTGCAACTAGAGGGAATAATAATAGATATTTCTTGTATCAAACGGTCTTCCATGGCCCAAGCCTTTGCCTGTATTCGACTTCGACAGAATCCAGAGGCCCAATATAAGACTAAAAATCGGAAAAACCTTTGAAATAATAATAAGAAACAAAAATCAAAGTTTATAACTGCAGGAAAGTGGCGTGCGCAGAGAGAAATGTTTCTTAGTATCCGTTTAGGGTAACCATTGAAAGAGTAACTTATTTGTAATCTGATTTTTAGAAAAGTGAGATTAGATAATATGAATTGTATTTGGATCAGATTTTATAAAAATTAGATTGAGTAAAATATTGTTTAGATTATGATTAAGGGGGTGTTTGGATGAAGCCAAACCATTGTATGGAGAATAGCTTCTGGAGAATAGATTCTGAAGAGAATAGATTTTGAAAGAATAGATTTTTCTGAAAAAGTGATTCTGATAAAGTGAGAGTGTTTGGATAGTTGTTATCAGAAGTGCTTTTTTATATGTAGAAATTACTAAAAAGGACATAAATTTAAATGATAATTACATATAAGATATATTTCATAATATATGTTTACTTGAAGTAATAAATTTGTTAATAATATATATTTTGGCAACATAATAAATAAGACATAAATAATATAAATAAAAAAATTAAAACGTATATATATTAATAAAATAAGTAAATATGTTTTTTGTAAAATAATTTATTTTGCCAACAAAAAATACGATTATTTCTTAAAGATTTTAAAGATGAAGAAATCACATAATTTGTTTTCACAAAATTAAAGAACCACACCATGGGCCCACCACCAATGTTCAATTATTTCAAGCAGAAGCGGCTCCTCTGTGGCTTTATCCGAAACCAAGGTTTTGGGGGGCAAAACCATGGTTTCCCCCAAAACCATGGTTTGAGATTTTTGAGGGATGTTTGGCAAATTTTTTTTCAAATCATGGTTTGGAGAAATAGCCAAACACCCCTTAAATAAAAATAAGTTTAAGTTATAAAATTATCAAAATAGACATGAGTTTCACGAGAGAATAATGGGAAGAGTGAGAGGAAGTTATCATTATGACAATTTCTATCGGTCCTAAGCCTGATTGCTGCTACTTGAAAAAGCTGCCTCCCCAGCTTAAGGTGAATCGCGCGTTCGGCCCTCAAGTACAGTCTTGCACAAGCTCTCTCAAACAAGTTTACTTTTTCAATCGGGCTTCCACTGCAAAATGAACTATTTCTGGCCCATAAATCACTTTCCCAAACACACTTAGAGGGTGTTTGGATAAAAACCAAACCATAATTTCAGAAATGCTTTTACGGTTTACGAAATAAATATGTAGATAAATTTACCTCGTTTTGCGGAAAAATGTTTCTAAAACTATGGTTTGGAGGTTGCCAAACACCCTCTTAATCATGTTGGATCGAGAAGGACAACGTGGGATTCTGTGATTGGTTTCATTTCGACCAGTTTCGTTCTTGGAACAAGATTAGGCTGCTATTGTCTCGCCAATAATTCCTAATATACATAGACATAATTATTTAATTAATATATCTTGTGCTTTCCGTCAATTGTCATAGCTTATATTGTCCTTGATCTCTAAGAAGCAAGAAACCGGCATTAAACACAGAGAATAAGGAGGAGGAGGATGAAGAAGAAGTCCATCATGTGCTGCTCTGAAGACTGTAAATGCAGGCCTTTGGGGTTTCTGCTACGGCTTCCCTTTGCCTTCCTGTCTCTGCTCCTCTCTCTTATCGGTATTATTATCTGGATTGTTGGGTAAGTCTTTGTTATTCGAAGAGTCCTAAGTAAGAATCGTTGGAATTAATATCTCAGGAAAGATATCACTAGTAAGATGGATTCTGTGTGTTTTGTAGGTTGATATTAACATGCATATACCCATGTTGTCTGTGTGTGACCATTAGTATTGAGTTTTCTTTAGCTCGGATCAAAGCTCCAATATTGGTGATAGAGTGGTTCATCTCTAAGATTCCATGTTAGACATATATGGTTCTATTAATGGTTCGATTCAGAACATTCAAAGGGCATTGTACGTGCAGTTTAATTTTCACTGATTCATTTCTTCTGATTTTGTTTGATCATTTTCATGTTATTTTAATTTGTAAGCATGTCATACTTTTGATCTCTCTTATTAACATCTTATGATTTTTTTTGGGAGGAATGAGATAGAGAGAAGGGAGGAAAGAACAGGAAGAGGAGAGGGAAGGAGAGACAACAAGAGAAGAGGTTAGGAAATATTAATTCTTATTTGATTATCAAAACTGAAAACTGTAGTCACTTTTATAAAGCTTCTAGAAATATAAAATAATAATAAAATCCATAATTAAATCCTAATCATAATAAAAAAACAATAAAGATAGTTGCAAGATATTAAAGACAATTAATGTCATAAATCCTAATTCTAATGGATAAATGTCCTTATTTAAATCCCCAATGGATATTCTAGATATCTAATTAAATCCAACTTATTTCACATCTCATTCTCTATCATGTAATCTTGCATTGGGCCTTTGGATTCTTTTTTTCCCTATACAAGTGAAGGCTAAGCCCAATTAAGAAAAGCAAACACTAAAGAGATTGGATTCCATACACTCTCCAACAAGAGTTCTCGGGATTGGGTCTAGTGAAAGGAATTAGTCCTTCACAATGTAACGAACCAATATTTTGAATTCTTGTTGGGAGATGTATCCACAGTTAGTACCCAACAGCGTGTCAAATAGGATTGTCTCCAATAAAAAGATAACTATGCGTAGCCAAAAAAAATTGTACAAGACAAACCGAATCCTTACTGAAAGAGGTGTTTATATTTAGTACTCGACAATACCTTAAACAAGATTACCTCTAATAAGAGGATACTTGCACCTACAAAAAAAAAATAGTGTACTAGACAAACATCTAGTAAGCTAAGGAGGATTTAGATAAGCCCTCCTTTGCCCTTGCATCCGCTAAGCGGTTTTGAAAAGTCAACAGGTTATCCTCATTGTTTATCATGTATCTACGAAAACAAATAAACATCTGCCCACAAACTTTTGGCTCCATGCAATTTGGCGCCACAAGCATTGTTGAGAGAAGAAAGCCTTTTAAAACCAAGTCCTCCATAGTGTTTAGGCAGCAGAATTTGATCCAGGCCTTGGGCCTTTGGATTCTATTTTTTGGGAAGGGGGGGATACGCTTGGGCCGTGGAAGAACCGTTTCGTACAAGAATTATCTCTAAAGTTATTATTCCCTTTGCTCATTATTATAAACTCTGAATAATGAATAGCTTTACATAAACAAATAAAGTTAATTAGAATTAATTATTTATTATAAAATATAAAAATTATCATCAATAAAAGTCATTAATTAAAGAAATTTGGTTATTCAGTTAGAAAGTTTAGTAGTTAGTTGGGAAGTTGATTTTTAGAAAGGTTTAAGACTCGAGAAAATTTAGTCAACTGTTTAGGAATTTTTCTAGTAAAGTTGTTTGATGACGAATCCAGCCATTCTAAATTCATCAAATTTCTGATTGAGTTAGGAATTGTACCGGTGAGCTCGTTGTGTGAAAGATTGAGCCCTTTCAACGCATGAAACTCTCCAATAACTTGAGGAATCTTTCACTTAAACATGTTATTGCATAAACCAAAACTTATGAAAACAGTCAAGATCTTTTCTAGTTAAGTGTCTAATTCTTTATGTGCTATTTTTTTCTGACTTTTTTCTAAATAAATCTTCTTCTGCTGCTAGGTTTTTATCCTTGTGCTTTTAATATAGCAATGTGTATGCGAGCAGGAACAATTTGAAAAGAGAAGAATATGGAATATGCGGAGAAAATGGAAAGCAAAATGGCTATTATCCAAAAGGAGTTTGCAGAGGAGAAAGAGAAAGATTTACACAAGGCAAACTGCTCCGACTCTTAAAAAAAAATGTTTTTTTTCCATTGTTTTTAATAGTCTAATAATCCTCGTGTCTCATAACAAGCCCAAGAATGTTTGAATGTTAATTTACTGTATTTTGACAATTCTAACGTCAGCATGTATGGATGAGTTTTTTCTTTTCGCCCACCACAGCATATATAGATGATTTATTGTTTATAAACTTACGACATTCAATATTATCCGCAAAAAATTAAATCATATGGCTGAGTTTCAACTAATTATTCCGTAATATTATTCAATTTTTTGTGTTGCCAGGAGAACTACCAATTCATTTAACAGATCAACATATAAAAGCGCCAAACCTTGTGCTATTTAAAATATTACATGTTCATCCCAACGCATCGCATGGGGTCTGTATTAGTATTGTTAAAAGCAAAATCCAGTCGGACGCGTTGTGAGAGGGGAGTTATGTAAACTTTGTTGTGTGCGCTTTTTCCCGGAAAAGTCATGGTGAATTATTTTGATGCTCATCAGGGTTAGTCTCCATACCTCACTATCTTATGAATTTCATTATTTTTTTGATAATATAATCTGGGCGAGTTGTTAATGACTTGTAGCCCTTCAATTGATATGTTCTCTCAATTGAATTTTTTTTCTTCCTTTGAATATAAAACTGAGTAACATTAAAATAAAAGCAGAGTACAACAAGAAACGACCTGCTCTCCTTCGTTAACCTGTTGAAACAGAGGTGGGAGGTGGTTTAGGATAAAAGATTCCATTCTTAGCAATTAAGGGATCTTATTAATAATTGGATTGTGATCTAATGGTGTTGAGGTGGCAGTTACAAATTTGTTCAAAAAATAAACAAAGGAATTTATCTCAACACCTGCCACAATCGGGGACCGAGAACAGTGGATCGCAAAAAGCCAGAAGACTTTTGGGGAGCTGTGATAGTTCAAAAGTCAAGAGGAGGGGAAAACCGGGAGAAGTGAAGGCTGTGGAATAAATAATAAATAATATACCTAAAAACGAAAGAGAAAGCTTAAACGCAAGGAATTCCTGGCGTGTATAAAAGTAGCCGTCCGCACCCCGAAGCAGAACACTACACTAGCCATACCTCCATACAAAACTCAGGCCCTTATGGATAACCTCCCCGAAGCTTGCATCGCCCACATCCTTTCCTTCACATCCCTCCCCGACGCCTGTAGGCTTTCCTGTGTTTCTTCCTCCTTCCTTTCCGCCGCCGTCTCCGACGCCCTCTGGAATTCCTTCATCCCTTCCGATTGCCTCTCCCTCCTTTCTCCTCCTCCCTCCTTTCCTTCCAAGAAGCATCTCTTTCTCTCTCTCTCCCAGCAACCCCGCCTCATCGACAACGGTCTTAAGGTATTTCTTCCCCTTCTTTCTCCTCGGTATCTCAATCTTATTTCATTTTTAACTCTTCCAGTCTTACTGCCTTGATCTCATGTCTCTTTATATATATGCACAGAGCTTTTGGCTGGATAAATTTAGTGGGGCAAAATGTTTCATGCTGTCCTCGAGAAGTCTCTTTATTGTCTGGGGTGAAACTCCCGTGTATTGGACGTGGCTTTCGGTGCCGGAAAGCAGGTTTACGGAGGTTGCTGAACTTCGTGACGTGTGTTGGCTGGAAATTCGAGGGCGCATCAACACGCGCTTGCTGTCTTCTTCAACTCTGTATGCCGCTTACCTTGTGTTTAAATTAACCGCTCACACCAAGGGGCTCAAAAACAAGCCGACGGACGTCTCCATTGGGACTGCCGGGAATAAAAACTGGCGAGTCGTCTATTTGGTTCCGAGAAAAGCACAAAGCCGTGCCATTCCAGTAGAGAATCTTAATCGACAGTATCCAAACAAGAGAGCAGATGGATGGTTGGAGATCGAATTGGGGGACTTCTTCAACGAAGGAATAGATGACCAGGAGCTAGAAATGGCTGTTTGTGAGCTCAATGGACATTGGAAGAGGGGCCTTGTCATTGAAGGATTAGAAATTAGGCCCAAACTCACTTAGTGAATGGTGAACCTGCGCTGCGAGTTTCTGATAGATCTTATTTATCTCCATATCAGGTCAGTGAAGTTATGTAAAATTAAGAGCTTCACTTCCTTCTCTATCGAATCTTTGTAATAGTGTGTGTTAATCGAGTTGGACAATACTATGGCCTTCTTATTGCAAAATTAAACAAAAAAAAAAAAAAACGTACAAAGGCCAAGGCACTAATCAGTAATCACAGCAAAGAAAGAAAAAACCACTAATCAGTAGTCAGTAATCACTGATCTGTATGTGTGTGTATTCTTTATTATATTTTGAGGTTTTGAAAGTCAATGGCATTAAGGTCAAGCCTTTGAAGCCAACTACAATTGAGGTTGAGGCCAATTATGGATTGCAAGTACTACCATTTTTTGGGGTATTATATATTGTTTTGTTGTCACGCCTTGAAAATTGAAAAGTGACCAGCATAGAATATAAGAACTCGTATTTCTAAAGTTTTTAAGATATACAAACAAATACTTAATAATTACAAAAATCTTAAGGGTTCATCTGTTATTTCTAGTTCATATATAAATTTATTTCTTATTATCCCAACAGTAAGTTTTTTTTTTTGGTAGAGATTTTGGAAGAGCTTTCCTTGCAAGTCTTTTTTTTTTTTTTTGAAAATTCTACAACAGTCCAATAGTCGAGTAGCAAAAGAGAGCTTCGTTCCATAACCACAATATACATGTACATATATCCCAATGTATCAAAAAGAAACAGGGGTCTTGCCTATAGGCTACATGGAGCACCTAAACTACAAAAATAAATACTTAAATGTAAACTTAGATTTACATTACTAAAAGATGTTTTGAAACGCATTTACAAGTTTTGATTATCAATGAGTGTCTTTGCTGTTCAATTGGAGGTATAGAAGCAGTGATGCTGTCTGAAGACAGAATGGTTCCCATTAATAAAAATAATTAAGGTAAAAGAAGTGCTAAAAGAATAAATTATGCAACATAATCATGTAAAATAAATAATTTACCATTGCTTTTAAATTCTTAATAAGCCGTGAAAACATAAAATAAAATATATGGAAAGCTTTTGATATGCAAATTAAACCCAACATAAAAAAAAAA